AGGGAGCCGCCGGACCGCGGGGATCAGGTGTCTGAGGCTGCGGCCAGCTCATTGCATTCCTGCCCCGCCCCTCCCCCTGGCCGGCGGCGGGCTCCCCTGGGACCCTGGTGTCCACGGCCCCCACCTTTTCCTCCCTCTTCTCCCAGGACCCAGAGTCCGAAGACAGGGGATTTGATATCAGAGCAGGAGGCCAAGAGAGAGCTTGGTCCTAGGCAGGCTGTTGTGAGCCCCCCAACTCTTGGAAGCACTAGGGGCTGACTGTAACTGGATTATTCGTGTCTTCTGTGTTGGGGGAGAAAGTAGAATGGTAGCAGGAAGGATTCCAGTTAGGTTACAGAAAGAACTCCTGGGCTCTGAGGAGCGGGCTCAGGGACAGGATGGTGGACTGGAGCCTGCAGGTCTGGGAGCCCCTCCCTCCACTGGCCAAGAGGACCGTCCTTCTGTGGGGGCTCTGTGGGACCCTGAGATTAGAGGATGGGACACTAGGGGGCTCCGGTTGAGGCGGTCGAGGGGCAGAGGGCAGCTGGGTGCTGCAGGGCAGGTGCGGCCCAGACGGCCCAGTGAGTACGTGTCCCGCGGTGGGAAGAGGTGCAGGGCACCGGCTGTCCTTTCCCGGCTCCGGGAAGGTGGGGGCCGTGAGGTCTCCTTGGCCTAGGGTCTCTGTGGACCTCTGTGTCTCTGTCTCACTCACCTTGGTCTCTCAAAGCGGCCCTTGTGTGTTGGTGTTTGTGGAGCTGCCACACGCAGGGGCCGGGCTCAGGCGAGGGCGGGGGTGGCCGTGGTTTCCCAGCTCCTGGACTCAAAGGGCCTTTTCTCTGCTGCCTGCCCCACCTCACCCACCCGCCCTGCAGAGCTCTCCTGATGGCTGTGGCCTCTGCCCTGCCCACACTTCTGTGAGCGTTTTGCTGGAACTCGCTTTGGGATTTTTCCAACCTGGAGCTGATGGTGTGAGAAGTGTGTGACTTGGGGAGCGAGCCAGGGAGCAGTGACCTTCTTCTGTGCAGCTGAGGCCTGGGTAGACTGGGTGGCTGTGTCCTGAACTATTGGGTCTCAGGTGGTGGGGGTGGCAGGGGAGACTGAGAGATTCAGGTGTGGGGAGCTTGCCCGGGTTGTGGGCAAGGACTCTGATGGGATCTACAGATGTGTGGCTCTGGGCCTTTGGCCCTGCTGCTGTCCTGCGTGGCAGCCCCAGCCCCCCATCTCCCAGGTGGGGGCACAGCTCCCTGGACAGCTCTTTTTCTCCTCTCCTTCCTCAGCGTGGGCAGTGCCACCCCATGTCCCAAAGCCAGGATCGTAGCATCCTGAAGCCCCCTCCCATATGGCTGCCGCTCCACTCCCTCCCTGGCGGCCCCCCTGCCCCTCCTGTGCCCAGGATGATCGATTGCCCAGATGTTGTTTGTGCTGGAGTCAGGACAGATGCCAGAAACAGACAGGGAGATATGGAAAGGGAATGAGAGAGAGGGAAAAAGTCTGGAAGAGAAAAGGATGGGCAGAATGTGAGGGAAAAAGAGGGGAGACGGGAGACATGGGGACAGAAAGATCAACAGGTGCAGAGACAAAAGGAATAAGAGGCTCAGCGTGACGGAGCAGAGAGACAGACGGCATTGAGGGGTATTAAGAGGTATTACAGAGACGGCCAGGCCAAGAGGGGTGAGCGTGGGCATGGAGCCCAGTCCCCTGCAGGTAACCGCACTCCCCTCCACTCCGGGAAAGCGAGGGAGAGGTGGCTTCTGCCTTCCCGGAATCTGAGCCTGGGTGGCCCCTCCCACTCCTGCCCCTCACCCTCATGGACACTCTCAGGTGCGCCCCCTGTGGACGTGCTCCGGGCTCTGCGGTTCCCCTCCCTCCCTGATGGCGTCCAGAGGGCGAGAGGCATCTGTCCCGCTGATGTGGCCTACCGAGTGTCCCGGCCTGCCCAGCTCAGCGCGCCCACCCGCCAGCTCTTCCCTGGTACAGTGTCAGGGTAGCGGTCTGGGAGCGGACCCTGGGAGGGAGGGGCTGCGTCTTCCTTCACGTCTCACTGTCTGTGTCTCTCTTGGGCACCAGGAGGCTTTCCCAAAGACTTCTCTCTGCTGACTGTTGTCCGGACCCGCCCTGGCCTCCAGGTGCCCCTCCTGACTCTCTACAGTGCCCAGGGTGTTCAGCAGCTGGGCCTGGAGCTTGGCCGGCCCGTCCGCTTCCTGTATGAGGACCAGACTGGACGGC